TTGATGATTTGGGAGCTTCAAACATGTGATTTTCACACTCACACTAATAGGTAGTGTAGCGCTTCACCCATGAGTGATCCATGAGGCAATCTTGGTAATTTGGGAGCTTCAAACTTGTGTTTTTCACACTCACACAAGTAGGTAGTATAGCGCTTCTTTCATAGATGGCTTTTGATTCAACTTTGGTGATCTTGCCTACTTAGACTCTTATTTTTCACTTACGTAATAGCATGTGTTGTTCCGGTTGATCTTTCCCCTATGTGCATGTGCTTTCCATGTAGTCTAGCATCTCTTGTCTTGTTCATACTTGGTATAATGTTCCGGTTGATCTTCCTCCTATGCGCATGTGCTTTCCATCTAGTCTAGCATCTCTTGTTTTGTTCATACTTAGTGTAATGTTCCAGTTGCTCTTTCCCCTATGTGCATGTGCTTTCCATCTAGTCTAGCATCTCTTGTCTTGTTCATACTTAGTGTGATGTTCCGATTGATCTTCCCTTCACATGCAAGTGCTTTCCATCTAGTCTAATCACCCATTGTCATGTTCCTACTTGGTGTGATGTTCCGGTTAGTCTTCCTTTCAATGCWTGTGCTTTTCCATTAGTCTAGCATCTCTTTGTCATGTTCCTACTTGGTGTGATGTTTCGGTTAGTCTTCCCTTCAATGCATGTGTTTTTCCATTAGTCTAGCATCTCTTCGCCATGTTCCTACTTGGTGTAATGTTCCGGTTGATCTTCCCTTCATATGCAAGTGTTTGCCATCTAGTCTAGCATCTCTTTGTCTTGCTCATACTTAGTGTGATGTTCCGGATGATCTTCTCCTTTGTGCATGTGCTTTCATTAGTCTAATCACTCATTGTCTTGCTCATACTTAGTGTGATGTTCCGGTTTATCTTCCCTTCATATGCAAGTGCTTCCATCTAGTCTAGCATCTCTTTGTCTTGTTCATACTTAGTGTGATGTTCCGGAGCATCTCTTTGTCTTGTTCATACTTAGTGTGATGTTCCGGATGATCTTCCATTCTCAT